GGAATGAGGAATATGGGCCAAGGAGCTCTTCAGCAAGGAATGGGTATGGCTGGAGGAATGAGAAATATGGGGCAAGGAGCTCTTCAGCAAGGAATGGGTATGGCTGGAGGAATAAGGAATATGGGCCAAGGAGGCTTTCAGCAAGGAGCAGGAATGGCTGGTGGTTTGCAAGGTATGGGCCAAGGAGCCTTAAATCAAGGAATGGGTATGGCCGGAGGAATGAGGAATATGGGTCAATATGGTCTACAGCAAGGAGCAGGCATGAATGGAGGAGTCCAGGGAATAGGCCAAGGAGCTATAAACCAGGGAATGGGCTAGCTAGATAGCACGGCTTTACAGATTATGACCTGACACGGACCAACGATTTATATTATGACTCAAGGATATAAATGAAAATCACCCAGCTCAGCGTCGACAGTAGAAACTTCACAAGAAAAAAATAATATGAAAAGTTTTATAAATAATAATGACGCTAAACTAAAAGGGCATATAATGAATATGACTGTAACGTCCAAATGCACGCGCGAAAAACCATGTTAAATTTTTGTTCGATTTTTTCATTTCTTTCTGCTATGAAGGACAACACAACGAATTAAAGTTGATTTCCGCCCCAAGTTATTTACACATTAACTTTTTATCTCGATTGGGCTCCCTGTATTTAGCTGTTTCAGATACAGTGGACTTACCCGTCTTGCCTCCCTTTTAATAATAATAATAAGTGGGGTGTACTTATTTGCTGTGGGTTCTTTTGGCCCCAAGTCACCGTTCTTTTTCGCAAAAACAATCAAATTTCTTCACATGTATTCTGTTTTATTTTCCAATGAATGTCAATAAAGTATATATAATACCTAACACTTTTTTGTCCGCAGATGCTTTGCAAAACAGTTCTTTTAGCGTACAAAAAACGAAACATTAATAGTCATAGTTTATATAATCCCCCGGTATAATCCTTTAAGGYACTAGTTTTGTACAAAATGTCATGTCGGTGTGTAGAGCAATGACAGATGATACGTGGAATTTCCGAAGGCTTGTTTACATCTTTGCTTATTTATGAAGAGGATTTTGAAGATTTGTTGATTTTCAAATCTAAGCGAAAAAGAAAGCGTATATAAGAATCAAAACAAAGTTTGTTTGGTGTCAGTTATCATTTATACAGATACCTAATGAGATGCAAGATATCAAATGAGATGCAGAATGTAAAACACGCTTAAATACGATTGTTAAACCACAAAATATCGCGGAAAACATTTTCTAACTTGACTTCGTGCAAGTTAATATACTATATAGTTATATACTATATATTTGGTTGGATCAGAATTTCTGCATATCGCTGTATATATATACACTTATTTCAATAAAGTTAGTCGCCTGAAAACCTACAAAGATGAGACCAACAAGGATTATGGGTAGTTACATTTTACATGTTTCAACCGCTTTGATAACTGTTGATGGACTTGAGATATTTTACCAGTTACAGTCTCGCCTCTTCTGAGCATCCTCGAGCTGCAAATTGTATCAAAAGCTTCACTTGTTTGATATTAAAAGTTTCCCATGATCCTCAGTGATCTCAGCTTTCTAGGTTTTTTGGTGACTAACTTTATTGAAATAAGTGTATACACTTGATTGCAAAAAGGTTGTAGTATACATTTATGCATATATCTAATCAGATGCAAGATATCAAATGAGATGCAAAACTTAAAAAGTAACTTATTTGGTCTTATTTATCTTCTATTGTATCAGATACATAAGTATTGCACAAAGTCAAGTTAAAAAAGTATTTTGCACAAAATGTGTGGCTAAGCAGTCGTATTTAAGAATGTTTTGGGTTCTGCATCTTATTCAATACTTTCTATCTCATTAGGTATAGTATCTGTATAAATTAATGTATACTACAATCTTTCTGCAATCAAGTGTATATATATATATGTGTGTGTGTGTGTGTGTGTTGTCGATCGCCAGTAGAACAGTGTGCTCGATACTTTATGTAGAGCGAAATATATATACATTAAAATCTCCTGACGAGTGAGTCCGACTCACGAAACAGTTCTGTAGAGAACAAATTATGGTCGTGTGATTTCTACACTTAACACATATCTATCTATMTATATATATATATACAGCGATATGCAGAAATTATGATACTTTTGCATATACATAAAAGTATATCTAAATTTCATTAGCAATTATGGGATAACATATCTGATATTTTTTAAAGCCCTAGTGATAGGCCCGAAAAAATATCAGGCATGATGTCCGACAATTTCTGGTAGATTTTTGATATACTTGTATATAGGTACAAAAGGGGCAAAGTTTATTTATTTAATATTTATTTATTTATAAATGGGAGCATATTATCAAATCTTACCATATACATGTTCCCCACTTTTTATCCACATCATAAATGGGTGTTGTCGAGCACCACTTATCAACAGCATCATCTGAAGTACATCGGTTATAAACCTTTCCTTTGAAAATAAAGGGAAAGGCACAGCAAGCACCACCAGCATTACCACCAAGAGTAGGTACACCTCCTCCACAGTCTGAAACATACCAGATAATTAAAATACGTCGTCCATAATAATTTTCATAAACTTCAAAAAGTTTAAAAACATTAAGTCACTTTTTTGTTACCTCTTAATTCAATGTCGTCAGTCTTTCTGTTGTTAATGTCGTAATTTTTGTTGTTACTGTTCGTTTCTTTTGTATTTTGAGGCCTTGTAACACAGCATTCACGAGAGCATGCCTGTGTGCAGTGAGTTGCACACACGGCTGGGCAGGTGCCCGTCGAGGGGGAGTGAGACTGAGATGAAAGAAGAGGCGACAGAGGTATGGGTGGTGGTTGGAACACTTTTGACTTTGTTTGAAACCCTGTTTCAATTGGCATTTTGTTCAAGGCTGCAACCTTTCTCTTTGCTTTTGATAGCAATCTTAGTCGTGCTAACGATGTCTTCTTGCAGCATTTTATCGGGCAATAACTGGCACACTTTTTTGCGCACTCTTTAGGACAGATAATCTTCATGCTAGACAGAGATTTGGTAGAATATTCATTGTGATTTGATGGTAGAGACCTAACATAGGTCCTTTGCCAGTTACCTGCATAATTATTATAACGAACCCCAGAGGGAAGAAAAGCACGAGCTTGAAGCCTTTGATAGTAGCCTCGCTGATTCGCCGAGCAGCAAGACAGTGGGCAAGATCCCACACAAAATGTAGTACACACAACTGGACAATGAGAAACTGGGTCGTAATAAGATGATAAAGATGGCTGAGAGAGTAGTTGAAGACTGGAGGGATTGGAAGAGGTCGTAGTTATTTGTGTAGGAGGATGAACTATTACAGGTGGTGGTGGTGGTGGTGGTGGTGGTGGTGGTGGAGGAGGAGGAACAAAGTGCATCATAGCAAAATTTGGAGGTGGCATTGGTGCAGGAGCTGGAGGAGATGGTTGCATCATTGCTGCAGGAGGTAGAGGAGGGGGCATCATGGGTACGGGAGGGGGAGGAGGTGGCATCATTTGTGCAGGAGGTAGAGAAGGTGGCATCATCTGTGCAGGAGGGGGAGGAGGTGGAATCATTGGCACGGGAGGTGGAGGAGGCAATACGAAGTGAGATGGGGGAGGAAATACCAAAGGAGGCGGAGCAGGAGGAGAGATCATCATAGATTGCGAAGCAGGAGGTATTACTACAGAAAGGGGAGGGAATGAAGCAGGGTATCCTGCTTGAAACATCTCAGTAAATGAAGGAATCGTGGAAGAAACAAATGGCGATGAAGAGGGCTGAGTAATTCCTAAAGCAGCCTTTCTTTGGTCTATCGTACAGCATCGCTGTGGACACGTAGGCATACAGTTGGTAATACATCCAGGCGGGCAATCGTTTGAATGAGTACAGCAGTGATGTGGACAGTTTTCTGTGCAATCAGAGGCACATTTTTGTGGGCACGGTGCTTGCATGTGATAATGAATGCCTGTCGTTGGTTTATCCAAGTGTACTTTGACTGTCATGTAGAATTAATAAAATAAATATATTTTTTATAAATTGCTAGTTTTATGCTGTAGAGTTGTTAATTTTCTTTCGAAACAAATTTTATTCCTTTAACATACCTTTGCAATATCCCCATTTATTATCGTCGTCGTAGTTGTATGTGGTCCCACACCAAGGCTTGGATCTGTTTCCTTTTATACATCTTTTGTAAATCATTCCTTGATAGACGAATGGAAACTGGCAACATCCACTGTTTGCGTTTCCTCCATGCGTTTGATGACATCCTTCGTGAAATTGATTACATGTTTGTTAAGGGGATTTTGCTCGTATCGAGTCAAAAACACTCGTTTATTTTCTGAAAAAATATATCAATTGCGAGTATTTGCGCTGCATGATAGGCCTAAAACTGACCATTAACACATATACATAATGCAATCGAAGTATTAGGGTTAGGGTTATTATACCATTTTCCTCTTCCTCTATAGTTAAGAAAATGTAGTTTTGGGATGCAATGTTTAAAAGCGTTGCAAATTTCAAGTAAATTTTACAATGGATCAGACCTTAATACGTTTACCGGTTGACAACGTTTTGAATTCGGAGTGAGCTCTTGAACTTGACTACCTCCATTCAATCTTAAAATATCAATGCATCAATTTAAGGCGACTGCAACATAATTGCGAGTATATCAAAAACACATGCATGTAACTTTCTGAATTTAGCTTATATAACATAGTAAGGTTAACACTTAGGTTTTTCTACGGTGTATTTTCCACAGTGGTTTTTCATAATATTGTCGATTTCCGCTTTAGATTCTTGATGAATAAACTGTCATCATTTTGACTGCCAAATTTGAATTAACCCTAACCCTAACGCTAACGCTAACGCTAATTTTCACGTTTAAATTTAGATAAATTTCATCATCTCATCACGCGTTTCTTTTTATTACTTTTCAAAAAATATTTTTAATGACCAACCTTGACAATATCCCCACTTGTGGTCCTGGTCATAGTTTGCAGTGGTTGCACACCAGTTCTGGTTACTGTTGACATTGGTACAGCTGTTGTATGTCTGGTTATTGTAAGTAAATGGAAACATGCAACATGCACCTTCTGAGTTTCCACCATGAGTTGCTGAGCATCCAATAACTATCAAAAAGCAAAAAGAACCGTTTTCTTTAGCAATTCAATGGTTGATGTTTAAATATTTGCCGAGTATTATTTAATAGATAATTACTGAGGCACGCAGCATTCGTAGGTATAATGCAGCCAGCTGAGGGCGTAGCCCGAAGCTGCCTGCATTATACCTACGAATGCTGCGTACCGAAGTGATTATCTAGTATAATTATTGTTCTTATCAAAATCCAATTGTTTTCTTTCTAGCTTGTTTATCATAGAAATAAAGCCAATAATGAATGAACTAAATATGTCTGATTTTCCTCTATGCATTCGTTGGGATAATGCAGACTGAAAACAATGGATTTTGATAAGATCAGTAATTATTAGTGCAATGTTGTACGGGTGACTATAAATGTAATCTTGAGTCTTCATCTTGCCATATTTTAGCATTTGGCAAGAACTACAAATGACCCTCAATCGTGAGAAAAACGATTATGTATCATGTATAACTGAATTCGTTTTGACCAAACAAAACCAAAAAGTAAACCTAATAACCGTTAAATAAACGCGGAGCAAACCCCACATAGAATGTAACTATTTAATTTGTGAGGGGCTTTGAGGGGGCCAGTAGGTAGGGATTGGAAGAGAATAGGAATTGGAATAGAATATTCATGTTCTTTGAAGTCAGGGACGCTTAATACGAATTAAAAATCTAAAGTAAAAATGGGAATGGGGACCACCTCTATGTCAAATAATAATAAATCTTAATTTCTATTTAGAGGAAATAACCTTAACCTAAAATCAAATCAGAACTGAAGGACTTTTTCTCAAATATTTATTGCATTTGGAGGCAAATTAAAAATCAGAGTTTTCCAGATATTTATTCAACTTAGAGGACAATTTATTTGTATGAAATTACTTCAAGGTCTATACGCGCAAACTTCTCTCGAATATCATCTATGCATATGTCTATTTGGGAGTATAATCCATAATTTTATCTTATTTCCCCACTATCTACTCAACTGCAAGCTAAATATCTGGTAAATGATAAATACGGTTCAGTAGCTTTTTAGCCACACAGCTAAGCTACTATAACTGAGTCTTTTAAGAATTTGTGCTTGTCTAAGTTATCCTTGTGAGTTGTCATCAAAGTTTTGCACTATGGTTGCTTTTCTATATTTTCTCCGTGTAAGAGCTATATTGCGTTTGCTATGATGGATGTTGGTTTTGCTATCTTCTGCCGGTCTTAATGATGCCAGAACGTATGTTTCATCCCAGTTATTATCTGTGTTAATTTTCTTTTTAGTGGAACATCGGTCCGTACATGAAACTAGCATCATCATAATCATCTTCATCCGCGTTAGGCAAGCTCTCAAAACTATTTTGCATATTTTCGTATCGTTGTGCTATATCCTGATTATCATAACTGTCTTCCTTCTCAATCKTTCCAGGGCCAGTATCGCTCGTATCATCATTGCTGTAATCTCTAATCTGTCCGTCATCAGGTGTACTTTGTCGAGCTGCATACGCCGTTTGCATTTCCTGGGGAGTAAGATAAAGCTGTTCTTCTTGTAGCTCCTGATTTTGTATTTGTTGATGTAGTCGTAGCTGCTTTTCATTTTGCTCTATCGTATGCTTTGTTTCTTGATATTGTCGTATTGGATCGTAAGTAAAAGCCTTCATCAATTCATCTGGAACCCGTCCATCATCATACTGAGTTTCCAGGTTCACCTTGTTGAAAAAGTCTTCTTCTTTTTGTAATTCGCTTTCAGTAAAATCTTGTTGATTTAGCAGTCGCTTTTGCTCCATTTCTAAAGCTGCAAGCTGTTTCTTGATACTTTTTACGTATTCATCGAACGCCTTTTCTTTACTGTTATCAGTCAGAGAAGTCGATACCTTCGTAGAATTTTTGTGAATTTGTTTAAGGTGATTGCTTTTTAATTGCTTTTTTCTGGAATCAAGTATAGTTTGCAAATACTTTCTTTGCTTTTTAAGCTTCATGTGTTGATTTTGTATTTTCTTCAATTCCTCTTGTCTTCTTCTGTAGTACTCATAGTTTTTCAGCATCTTCTCAATGAAAGCATAACGCGCTTTTTCAACGCTATGATCTCCATCCTCATGCTGGTTCTGGGTTAGGTTGAACATATGTCTTTGGCTAGACCCATTTTGAAGCACTTCTTTGGGTTTTTTAAACCACTTGGAAAAAAGCTTGTTTATCTGAAGGATGTGTTGCTTTGGGCGACCAGAACTTTTCTTATGTAAAATTTTCTTATCTTTCTGAAGTGGATGTACGTCAGCAACCGGATTGCACTTGCATCTTTCAGTACAAGTTTCTTTATTTTCATTGGATTGGATGCCACATTCCATAAAGCAAGCACAGTTTTTCTTGGGTTTTTCGGTGTTGGATCTGGTCCATCTTTTAACAACTTTTTGTATGTTAGACTTTTTACAGCACAACTGAGGGCAGGCTGGTGCACAAGGTACGACACAGACTGGCTTGCTACAAACTGCAGGGGGTTTGGTCGTTGGCATTGCTGAAATTACTATGTGAAAAGTACCTTGGAATTAGAACAAGCATTTTTATATAGCTATTTAAAAAGTGAAATGAAGTCAATGCTTGAAGCAAATTTAAATTTATCTTGGCAATAATGCATTTTAATTGCATTTTACATAATCTCATTTAAAAAAAAAACAAGAAACGACTTTAAAAGTCTAGAAAATTTACAGCTTGAGAAAAAAACTCAGTCTCACCTGTATGTTAGATGACTGACTCCATGACCCAGGTGTCTAGTCTATCTGCCACTTCATTCAACATGTCAGTGCTCTTGCCTAGACCACTACATAATAGTTAATATATCGGCTAAAATTCTCTTAAAACCGAGCGTTTGAGCATTAAGTTGTGGCTTCAATGAAACCTGGGTTATGGAGCCTGAAACACCTTAATTGAGTCATGTTTTGAGCTTTGGAAGGATATCATCGTTGACTTCAGAAATAAAGGCAGTCTGTTCTCAAGCATGTTAAGGCCTGGGATTTTGTTCAAAAGGGCAAAAATTATTTTTCACCGTAGATTCCTCATTTTTAAATGTAATTGAATGCGATTGCAATAGTTATCCTTATTTCAGGTGCTTAACTTTTCGGTTGAATATATTTGCATAAAAGGTGGTCACGTGACCTTAAAAGAGGGAAAATGCTAAATTAAAAACTAGGTGATGGTTTTAGATTATTTGTGAGGTTTCTTTAGCTTGTTTGAAAGTAGCAACAAAGATACAGATATTCACGTTTGGAATGGTCGACCAAAATGTTTACGAAAGGAGAAGAATGGGCATAAAGGATATTTTGACAGGTCACGTGACCTGTTTTGTCAAATGTCTCCTTAACACAAAACTTTAGCCCACCATTCTCAACGTCCATTGAACGACTTCAGGAAAGGAAATAAATTAAGGTTGAAAATGTTCAGCAAAGACTTAAATTGAGCACCTACTATTAAAATGAATTTTTATGTAAATGTATGTAAATTTCGTGATCACGTGACCTAAATTTTTCCCGGTATTTTGGAACCAATTTGTAAAGAACCACAATATAAGAAAGTTTGAGAAAGGTGTTTAGAACATTTTGAAGCAATGCCCGGCTCTGTGATGTTCAAATATGCACATGGTCTAGACGAGATTAGTCAAGAATATGTTGCAACAGTTGCAATGTTATGCTTTTCATTTCAGCAAAATTATTGCAAAGAGAAAATAAGGCTGGAAGAATGTTGGTTTGGGGCTTAAAGTAATTACCCTTTTTCTCAGAGTTCCTTGTTTGAAACATAGTTTATCTGCTTGTGTGGGTTGGCTTAATATAAGATGTTAAATCGCCTTTATTGACGATAGATACTGATAGGGGTTAATCAGCTCGCTTACCGCGGCTTTCTATAGTAGCTCCTAAAAATGATTGAGAAATCGCAATGAACTCAGTGATTAAGCATTTCAATTTATTTAAGAAATGTATCAAAACGGATGCGCCAAAAGCGCTACACGACAATAATCCATTAATATTCTAAAGAACTTAAAAAAGTTAAAAGTAAAGCTATATTCACTGGACTTTTAACCGCTTCAAAAACGCATGAATTCATAATTTGATCATATTGAAGCGACAATACACGTGTAAATATCTCTCTATATAAAGAATACTAATGAGGATGCCTTTATCAGAGATTCAAGGTGCAAACAAGTATATTTGAAGACTTAGAGCCTCATAATTGAAACGACGACGACGACGACGACGACGACGACGACGACGACGACGACGACGAACAATACATGGAACTTCGCGGACTCCCGGTTTATTTCTCCTCATGAACAGCCAGCCAATAAAAGCGTGAGAGCAAATTTACTTAAAAAGCAATCTTTGTGACAGAATTACTGCGAGTTCTCATAAAATTGAGTTTGTGTTGTTTTATTAACGTATGTGTGGTGCATACGTCAAACAATTGGACAAAGTGCATCACTGTAGAAAACAAATAGGCTATGTAAACTAACTCACCATTGGGGTTGTTATGGTAATGGATGTGGTAATGAATTCCTGTAATAGAATAAAGAAATAAATAAATAAGTGTAAATAAATTGTAATCAACTTTGCTGTTGTTGTTGTTGTTTTCTTTTTACATTTGTTTCCATGCACATCCTAAACCCTGTTCAAACACACGAAAGAACGCCTAAGAATGAAGGGAGGAGGGAGGGAGGAGGAAGCAAAGAAGGAAAGAAAAAAAGGCAAAGTGTTTTGCTACGTTTGACAATATAAAATTCCAAGAGGGACTCGTCCATAACGGTTTGGTCCACAATATATAAATATATACAGGAGCCGAAAAAATCCCTCAAGCAAAGGGAGGAAATATATAAAAACTTCACATGTGGACATCGATGGATAATACCTGAATTATTGCTATATATTTTGTGACACGGTGATGTCTTTTATGTTTTTACCTGGTCCCGGTGCTGGTACTGGTTGTGGCGGCGGTAATGGTTGGCATGGCGGTGGTCCATTGCATGGCGGCTTAGTGGTAGGTGTGGTTGTAGCTGATATCGGAGGTGGTGCAAGGGCTGGAGCCGGGGGAGGAGGTGGAGGCAAGGCTGGTTCTGTCGTCGGGACGGGAGATGGAGTATGAGTAGGTGGAGAAGTAGTGGGCACATTTTTCACAGTGGTTGGTGGCAACGTGGTACTTGGATGTGGTTCTGAAATAGTACCAACAAATATGAACTCAGAATACTTGTAGCATTATGAGGATAACCAGACAAAGGCCCATTTATAATCATTTGTAATAATTTCTAAGAGAATGAAATAACAAAAGACATGGTGGCCAAATTGTTTTGGCAAAGCAAAAGAGAGAAATAAAAAACATGAATTTTATTGAACCAAAATGACGGCTATACAAGCTATACGAAATGAATCAAGATTACGAACTTTTTAGAAAGCGTAAATCTGTATTATTGTAAAAGAAGATTGGTATAGCCAATAATCATGTCATGTTACAAACATTTAGCTATAAAATAACAATAAACGCGCTCGGTCGTCGTCCTCGTGTTTTCATAAACAGGTTTACTCGATCATGGTACTGAACACTCGATTTGAAGTATAACTGCGCTTTGTTCAGCTCACTGTCTTCTTTCTTCTTAAAAGTTTTTTTTTTTGTATTCGGTAGTGGTTCAAAGCCATTTTGAGTTTTTGTTTTCTTACCTTCAACGCCAGTCACTGCAACGTTAATGTAGGCGGAACAGTCCGAACTAGGCATGACAGAAATGGTTGTATCTCCATCGAGAAAAATCTTGAATTTTCCCGAAGGATCAATTCCTTTGAACGAGATAAAATTGTGCAGCTCTGGGCGCTTAAAAGTGAAATTCATTTTAAATTCTTCGCCATTAACTAGCCAGCCCTCTTTTTTAAGACTTGATAAAATCTTGAATTGAGATCCAACTTGGTTCTTGAATCTCAAAGCCACGCACTTGTCTGTCAATGATAATATGTTATTTTGATCAAAAACATTGATTATATGGCCAATATATTCCGAAAGCTACTTATTAGAATTAGGTAGACATTGTTTTGATTGTAGTTTGTTTTAGGAGGGCCTCGTAATTTGAGGGGGGTGGGGGGTGGGAATCATAACGGGGAAAAAATGAGTTTGAGATGTAGTAGTAGTAGTAGTAGTAGTAGTAGTA